ATATTTCAATAATAACTTTTCCTATTATTATTATTATACCATTCCAGATGGATAATTGTAAATCCGGTAGCATCATACATCCAAGTTTCAAACTTGTTGATCATCATCTCCTGAGTATTCCATAATTAGTCAATCCATTTTCAATCAGGTTTTTCATGTGTACGTATTGATTTTTTAAAGAATATTAATTTGAAATTTTCCCAAATTATTGAGATATCCACATGTTATTGTCCTTAACAAGTATCCAAGCAGATCATAATTTCATTGTACATATTTCCTCATGATTGCTTTTCCTTTTGTCCAAGTACGTTGAACTTTCCTCAATTGATTTTTCAAGTATTTAAGATCCAAATATTGAATTGATGTCGTTAAACTTTCAAAGTTCATACTTTTCAAAGTTTCCTTATTTCTCATTTGAAAGCTTTAAGATTACATTTTCTCCAGGTATCTAATTTTTTTGTACATTCCCTCCTTCGTGAGATGAACTTATCCATTATTTTGCAAGTTGGATATATGCCTGTATACTTTTCCATATATTTGTTTCCTCTATATAGCGTTGACAAGTCATAATCCAGCAGGATCCCTGGGTTTCCGCCTTAGAGATTATACATATATCCAAGGATATTCATCAGTCATTTATTATTGTTTCCTTTAAAATATGTCCTTTTCAAATTAGATACTGATTTTTCCTCCTTTATCCTCGTTTTCAGATTTATAGTATGTCCTCCAATAATGGTTCCCGTCGTGTTGATCGTGCCAATCGTCGTAGTGGTCGCTCCATTCATCAATCACGTGCAAGATTTTTGGCAACCATTCGTCGTCCCTTTCATATTACTCAAGTGGCTCCTCCTGTTGTTCCTCCTACTCCTGGTCCTATTCCCAGTCCTATTGAAAGTCCTGCTCCTGTTGAATCCCATGCTCCTCCTTCCTGTGATCGGTGTGGTGCTTTGGAACATGAGTTGAGAACTCAGCGAAGACTTTTGGATTCCCTGAATGAATCCAATAGGAATATTAGACGACAGCTGGCTGGGTTAAGTTTTTACAGAAGAGATAGGCCTTTGAGAAGAAATATCCATCGGTTGGTTCAGGAGTATTGGCATTTGCATAGATTGGTGACAGGATATAGACAAGTAGTAAGCAATGAAAGATACTCCTCCAGACGTCATAGAAGTATATAAATCATTATGTTTTTGATAAGTTGTAACCAATAAAATTTTCAAAAAAAATATAAAAATAAAATAAAAAAATATGTTTAAAATAAAATAATATGTCGTTATAAAATTTCAAGTTGATCAATAAAATAAAATATAAAATGAATAATCCTTAACCTAAAAATATTCAAAATAAAACATTGCTAAAATATATCAAAGGGTATTAAAATATAAATGTTAAAAATATTAAAATATAAAAATATGAAAATATGAAATATCAAAAGTATTAAAATATAAAAATGTAGAAAGTAAGGTGTCCCAAACCTCGCACCAAACAGTCATAACCAACCATCTGTATAGTTATGTCCTTTTGAAATAATAAACAATTTCAAAATAAAATATAAATCCCAAAATAAAATATAAACTAAAATATAAATCCAATAAAATATAATTTTAAAAATATAAAATGAACATAAAAATATGGAAGTAATTTGGATGCTATAGCCTCAAACACCATCCTGCGCTTGGCGCTACATGGCTGACCAGCCCGAAGACATATGCTATGGGTTCCTACGTTTCCAAGAACCAAGGTCGTCTACAGCTATATATATGGATCCAAATTAATTCCTTATTTTCATATTCAGGTGAAAGCCTAATTATATGAAACTTTAAACCTAAAAGAATAATTTCATTATCATAAATGTTTCCTTTAAAAATCCATCCTTCAAAAGTTTGAATTCCAGTATTAAAAATCCTATTTAGACAAGCTTTGATCCAAAATTCATCCAGCTTATCATTTATCAACTCATTGTAAAAATATTGATAGATAGGAATTTGATGTCCTATAGTATAGCTTCCTTGATAATTATCATTATAGTTTTCCTCTTGTTGATCCAACCTCAAAGGAAAAGTGTTTGGATTTGTTGACAACACAATAGATCCTTCATTTGTTATTCCTTTATGATTAGTCCTTGAATATTCCTCTCCTTTAAGTGAAGAATTGTAAGATCCTGATATAATTGTTGAAATATTTTCAAGTTGAACATCATGGACTTCATAATTTTCTATTTCATCAAAATACATTGATAAATAGTTTTCCACTGAGTTGTAGAAACATTCAGGTGGTTCCTTGTCCTCATCAATTGTTTGGTCCAATTGATTTTCCAAGAGATCAGAAGAATATTCAATTTGATCCTCATCAATTAATAATTCCTTTGAAGAAGTTGTTTGACTATCCATGGAGCTTGTTAATTGATCCTCAATATGAATTACTGTTTCATCCAGTGAAGGTATTATTTGATTTTCCATTGAATTAGACAATTGATCCTCAATATGAATTGTTGCTTCATTTAAAGAAGACATGCTATCATTTTCCATAGAGTTGAGCAATTGGCTACTGTCATCCCATTCATTATAAGCAAACAGTTGATTCAATAATTCCTCCTGTTCAGATTCACTATCAGAATCAGTTTCACTATCATTATCCTCAGTATCAGATTCATAATCAGATTCAGATTCAGATTCAAATTCCTGATAATTATTTTCAAAAGTTTCCTTTGTTGTATTTCTCCTAAATTCCACAGTGATTTTAATTTCCTTATTGTTCCATTCAATAGATATTTCAGATCCTTTGTAATTAATATATGCATTAACTTTTGAAAGCCAATCATTTCCTACCAAGGCCTGGTAAGAGTTTGCATCAGTTACAACTACATCCACAGGAACTTCAACACCTCCTACATTGAAAGGAAAGTTTGAAATTTCACCTAGTGCCCTTTTACTTTCACCATGAACATTGATCATTTTAATTGTTGAAGACCTTTCAGGTGTTACTCTTAACTTTTTCAATAGTTGCATAGTGACAACACTTCCAGATGAGCCACTATCAATAATCAATGGAATTTTTGTACCATACACTGTAGCAGTGCAATATAAAGCTGTTGATCCTTGAAAAGCTCCAATATTGACATTCATTTTAGATTTTCTCCTGACAGTTCTCTTTTTGGTTAAACTTTTTGAAAGTTCCTGCCTCATAGTAGGTATCTCTTTTAACAGTTGTCCAAAAGTTATATTGGCAGGTTTATTTTGAAGATCAGATACAATTGAGTATGGAGTTACCAAAGATGCAATTGCAGGTAATTCATCATCAACATTCCTTTTCCTTGTTGTGGTCCTTTTTGACTTTTTCCTTTCAACAGGGATATTTTGAGATCCTCCTTCCTTAGGAAATGAAAATATTTCATTTTGATTATCCTGATCCATACTAATTCCTTGTTCATTTTCATGATCATTTGCAAAATATATCCTAGGTTCCTTCCTTTTATGCCTTGAAGAACTTGTCCTTTTAGATTTCCTTTTGTTCCTTTCAGCAGTAAAGATATGAACATCCTGTTCAGGAATATGAACAAATGTTTCCCTTTCATTTTGATTGTTATTTCCAGAACTATTGTTATTTCCAATATTATTGCTATTTCCAGTATTATTGCTTCCAATATTTTGATTAATTTGATTCATCAAAGCTAACATATTTTGCAACAATT